TTTTAATAGAACACTCGGTTAATTTAAACGAGAGACTCCATGGTATATTAATGAACGATCCCATAACTGAAAGTAGAGCATGCTTTCATTCGTAACAGTGGGAAAGCACATGTTGTCGTTTCTTCGTTCGTAATATACCGTTAAATACACCTAAACGAGACGTCTAAACTTCCGTTCGTCCTTATGATGCAGATTCTACGAAACAGACTTATTTCTTTTTCTGTTCTTTTTTTTTTCTTTTTTTTTTTTTTATTAACGTCATGTTACGAGCCAATCGTACATTGTCTAACATCTGCATCGAATATGAACATTAAAATTTTATTCGACGATCTTTTTAATCGTGATAGTTTATATATATATATATATATATATAAACTGATTTTTAATATAATGTTTATATTTAAAATCAATCAAGTTTATATTTAATATAATGTTTCGTATAAAATACTTCAATTGAATGAGCCATAAATAAATGATTTTATGATTCATATCGCATATATATTATTTTGAATTTATTATGAATTACAATGAAAGATTTTTCCACACAATATATATAAAAGAAAATAATATTAAGTATATATATATATATATATATATATATATATATATATGTATAATAATATTCTTTATATTAGTGATTAAATAAATTTTTCATTCTCTTAGAGATGCAATTAAGTTATTTATTAAAGAAAATAATTAAGAGAATAAAAGTAACATTATTATATATGTTTAATGGTATATATATAACCTGTTTTATATCATAAGTTGTTTATATTAAGTATTAGAATTAATATGTTTCTTTTTTAGAAATTCTAATCATTTATTATTAAAACGAATTCGTTTTATTACTCAATCAATATCTTACGTAGTATCAATATATTCAATTTTTATTTATTATATTTTTCTTATTATTTTTCGAGTTGTAATATGTAATTAATTAATTTTATTCGATTTCAAAAAGTAACATTAACACTTTTTTACGCAAATATTATTATATACATATATTATATCTTTGGTTTTTTTTTTTTCTTTTTTTTTTTTTTTTTTTAATTAATTATATATATATAAAATAATAGCTGAATGAAATATTATAATACAATCATTTATATGTTATTGATCATTTATTGTTAGAATAAAACATGAAATAATAAAAATTATTTAGAAAAAAAAAATATATATATATATAGTATATACGTATATATAAAATTGAAAGAATTGAAACCGTTAGGAATGTTATTAATACGTTCGACATGGCTTCGGTAGATAGGAAGGGAAATGCGTGATTAGAAACTAGAAACGATGACCGCTAAGTACAGTGATTTTATTTAACGTCACTGTCTATGCTTCTACGAGCATGCTAATAACGTGAACGATATAACGTGCGAAAAGCGGCAAATAACTGTCTGCATCTTCCGTCGGACTAAAAGAAGAGACGAGAGTTAAACACAGCTCTCAACGGTCCTTTCAACAATCATTTCTAAGCGCTAGCAGTATCGTTTCTTGAAAGAAAAAGCCTCCGTAAGATTCTTCATCATTACTCTAGATTATAATTGATCTATAATCTTCTAACATATCATATAGTATGGTATTACATCGTACATTAATTTAACGATATAATGTGTGTAATTGATAATAATAATGAAAGAAAAGAGAAAAAAAGGAGAGAAAAGAGAAAAATTCGGAGTTATAGCTTCCATAGAGATTATTATTCTTCTTGTTAGTAATAATTTGAATTTAATAACATACGATTATTAAACTATTTCATCTCGAATTACTTGCTCGTCAGAAATATTAGACATTCGTATTAATATATATCTATTATTTATTAGATTAGATATTAAATATTATTATTTAAAAATGTCATTGGACATTAATATTTGAATATGTTTGATACTTCAATGTATAAATATATTTGATATATATATATATATATATATATATATATATATATATATATTTAAACATATTTAAATTTATCCTGATATTCTAATATTTAAATATATCCTGATATATTAATCATGTTTTGATCGATTTAACACTAAAAGGTAAAATTTTATATTTCAAGAAAATAAAAAGAAAAAAAAAACGAAATGAAATGAAAGCACTGTAACATATTATTTTTCCTAATCACTGGCACAATGTTATTTGTTATTATTATAAAAATTTATTTTCATAACTTTCATATCTAATATTAAACTATGACGAAAATTTTTAATCGAATTCCTTTTTCTTATTAATTTCTAAAATTAAAAGAAGATATTTCATCTATGATAAGTTAAAACTGATTTTTGTAATATGATAACCGTTAAGGTTATATTAATATTTAATTTAAAATTTTAACGGATCGAATAGAAATATATATATATATATGTGTGTGTGTGTGTGTGTGTGTGAGTGTGTGTGTATAAATATGATTGAAATATCGAGTAGAAATAAGTAAATTCGATAAATTTTGTTTCTAAATCACTTAGAATTCCAATGGATTCGAAGCATCGATTCCCACTCATGGACACCCACTTACACTCGCTATTCCTAACGTGGATAGTGGACATCGAGGTCAGTCAACTGCAACGCAATGCAAGCTATGCGTTTGCGTGCACATAGTAGAATTAACACGTAAGCCTCTTATATATACGCGATTGCATCCGTGACTCTCACCGTTTCGTGCTTATTACGATTCTCGTTCGTTGCTTTGGAAGGTCAAGGAAGTTACTGAAATACTTTCAAATATAGTTTTTCATATCATATCGTTTTAAAGTAATAAATTAGGATAGATATTGTCTTTCTTGTCCGTTTCGCATGGAGAATAAATACCGGTCTTTTTTGACCTTGACACTTATCGCAAACAGATAAGAAATGTTGTCAAGTCTTTTTCATTACGATATGTGTATGTGTGTGCCTGTGTGTCTGCGTGTGTGTACGTATATACTTGTAATATGTATCGCAATATGCGAGATAACGCGTTGTATGAGCATTTATTTTCCTTTATTTTCTTTTTTTTTTTTTTATTTTTTGTAATATTGTACAATATCTTTCGAAAAAAAAAATATCTGACGTGTTTATTTGTATTATTCTCGAAGAAGTTGAATATTAGACGATTATTTATTTTTAACTTGTAAATATTTTATAATTTATATATATATATATATATTATATATATATAAATATATCATACATAAATTACAATAAATATATCATACAAAAATACATAGATAGAGTTGCTCATTGAGCGAGACGTTTCTTATTATCGTGAAAAATATAGTAACTGTGATCAACAATTAGGTCACGGCCAAATTATTTGGATGATGTTCATTTTATCAATGCGAAAAATATCTCAGATTTATTTATTTCTCTTTACGATTACGCGATCCTCTTCTAATTTAAAACTAAAAATTCAAATGTTTGACAAATTTTTTACTATAATGCGACTAGCTAAAAGAAATATTTCTAGGACAACGTAAAGACATCCGAAGATTTCGTGTGTTCATTTTTAGCTGAGAATCAAGCCGTCATGTACGATGAAACGTTACTATCTATTTAAGTGAGTACGTACCGCGAGAATTTCTCACGACATTCAGCATCGTAATTTCTCTCTCTTTCTTTCTCTCTCCCTATTGTTTGGCTTCGACTCAGCAAATTCCGTTCAAAAAAAAAAACAAAAAAAAAAAACAAAAAAAGAAAAAAAGAAAACGAAAAAAGAAAAAGAAAAACGAAATATTCTCGCAACATTTTGTTCGGCAAAATAAAAAAAAAAAACAGCGTGATTCAAATAAGTATTCGGGCATTTTCGTAATGTAAAAAAAAAATTCAACAACATCAAATTAAATATTTTGAATTTGTCTAAATTCAATAACATTTTCGAAATCTAATAAAATATTCGAACATTTCTTAATGGTAAATTAAAAGAAAAATAATTTTATAGCTATATAAAGTATGTTTAGCATGTAAAAGAGAAAATAAATCTTTTTCAGATAACTTTTTATTAAATATCATGTAAAATTGATCAATCCTAAAGTTATGTTTATCTATAGATATTTAAGATCGTAATTGCGATACAATGGTAATACAATTATGTGAATTTGTAGATCTTTAGAGAACGAGATCTTTGTAGATCTTAGTGTAACTCATTTCACAAAGTTTCACGGATACACTTGATACACAAACACAAATTCATAAAATATATACATTGTAATATAATTTAAAAAAAGATTTCATTCATCATTATATTTTTTATCTCTGTTACAACAAAAAGATCAATCTATTTTTTAACTTTTTAAATTATTTAACTTTATACAACACAATAATTTCTTTATATTTGTTATTAAAAAGTTGAAAGTATTTCTTTTTTTTTGGTTAATAGAAAAAGATTATTCAATATAAAAAAAAAAAAAAAAAAAAAAGAAAATGAGAACCAGAATATTTCTTTAATCCAACGTATAAGAAAGTTCAAGTTTTCGATCGATACTTTCGAAAAATAAACGAGCCGAGAAGATTGATTTTCTTCAAAAGGAACACTACGATCAACCACTTCCTCTCCGCGTCTTGTATTCATCTGCCAGAACGGGATGACTTTTCACTGACGAAAACGACTTTCTCCGTGTCGAAGCAAGTGCCGAAGCACGTAAAGACATTCCTGTACACTCGTAATACGCGACACATAACATAAATATATAAGTATATGTGAATATACATACATATATACATACATACATACATACATACATACATACATACATACATACATACATACATACATACATACATACATACATATATACATGCATACAGACATATATACATATATATATATATATATATGTATGTATATATGTATGTATGTATGTATATACTTATGTATACGTTGCGCGTTATCTAAACAAATATAATAAACAGCTTTTATTCACATAATATATTATATATATATATATATATATATATGTATGTACATTCATAAAATCTATAGTGTAGAATTTTTAAATAACTTGTGTTATGCACGGACGCGATCGAGAGTGATCGGATCCGCCATTGTTGCGGTTGGAATGAAAAATCATCTCTCGACCTTGGCAGATGTTGTACAGAGATTGAAACTGGTAACAACAATGAGACGTGCCAATTCTATGCTTATGATTTTGCGAAACAACAATGACTTATCGAAATAGAAACGAATCGTGATTCGTGGATTTGTATTACAATGAATGTTAATAAATATATTTATCGTGATTATCTGAGCGAATCGAAGAAATCGTTTGCGATAAAAAAGTAATCGAATGCAAAGTAAGTAGGTACGTGAATATCCATTACGTGCCGATACGTAAGTAGCTATGTATATATAAGTATGTATTTATATGAATAATTGATCAGTTTCTTTGAAACGCTCTTTAATCTTTATTCTTTTAAGAAGATAAAAAGATACTTTCTATTTATACATTCATTATTATCGTTATAGTTCTTTTTACGATAAATAAGATATTTTCACTTTCAGATACGCTTTTCGAATCAACTGAGGAAAAACGAGAACGTTCGATGTCATTTAATAGATATATACTATTTTATTTATTAGGTCAATATTTCTTTTCTTTTTTCTCGTTTTTCCTTTTTTTTTCTTTTTTTTTTTGTATCAATCAATGTACAAGTATTTTGTAAAATAAACGATCGTTATATATAAATATTTTAATTGATACAAATAAAATAAATTGTCACGTTTGACTCACTTACGTGACGATATTTTATTATGAATAATCAATATTTATTGAAAATATTGATCAAATGTTTAAAAATACTTATGGCAATAAATAACAGCCGTACGTACATATGTATATATATATATATATATATATATATATATATATATATATTTAAATACGTATGTGTTTGTATCTTTCGAGAATAGGAAAAATAAAAATTTGATTTCAATAAAACACTTCGATCATCGTCACATCATCATCGTCGGATTTATCTCTTTGATCGTTCGAGTACTCTGATCACGTTATCCTTGCGCATGTATGTACATCGTACATTGACGTCACTAAAGCTCATCTCTTCTTTTTCTTTTTCTTTTTCTTCTTCTTCTTCTTCTTCCTGCGAAGGTATTCGGCCATTCCAATCGCATAGCTTTGAAATTTTTAGCGAGCGAACGGTAACGCATAAACGATCGTACAATAAAAGCATAGATTCATATAAGTTCAGATAATATGCTTAAGAATTTCTATCGTCACTCATAATTCCGCTAATAAAAGTAATTTTCTATTTATACTTTAATGAGTAAACAAAATCGTTACTTCATCGATCATTTTACAAACTTGTTATTCCTCATCAATAAACTTGAGACGTGATCAAATAAAAAGAAAAAGAAAGAAAGAAAGAAAGAATGAAAGAAAGAATGAAAGAAAGAAAGAAAGAAAGAAAGAAAGGAAGAAAAGAAAATAACAATAACAATAATAATAATAATAATTGTAATAATAATCATACTTTTCGTACGTACCTGGAGAGGAAGGAAGAATACGTCGAGCGAATCTCCTCTTGAACGGTGGTCACAGCAGCACGAATACACTCATACACGGTAAAGAGAGAGAGAGAAAGAGAGAGAGAGAGAGAGTGAGAGAGAGAGAGAAAGAAAGAAGTATATATATATATATATATATATGGAGACACACGCAAGTACAGAAAGAGAGTAAACTTCTGGGTTGCGTCTGGGTTGCGGGAGCGCGAGCGAAACGATCGTATGGGCGGAGCCGGTGCAGCCTCCCGAGGATATTTCCCCAGGAATTTGCATACAATCCTTTTGGAGCGATAGCGATACACTCTCGACGACTGATCCTCAACTTTGTGTGGAAAGTCTACTTTACTTCCTCTCTTTATTCTTCCCCTACTAACGCTCTCTATCTCTTTCTATATTTCCTTTTTAAAATGTCCTTTGTTTCGATACAACACAACGTTTACTTTTTTTCCCCCTCTCTCCCTCCCCATCCCCGATTTGTTTTTATTCACTTACACCTAAAATATATTTATTTATTATTTTTTTGTTTCTCTATATTTTGTTCTTTCTTTCTGTTGAAGATTGCGTGGAAAAAGATAATAGATGAGAGACTGAGAGAATAAGAAAGATAGATAAATAGATAGATAGAGAGAGAGAGAGAGAGAGAGAGAGAGAGAGAGAGAGAGAGAGAGAGAGAGAGAAGAGGGAGAAAGAAAGAGAGAGAAAGAAAGAAAAAGAGTAACGAAATACTTCTGGAGATCGACGACGATGACGACGATGATGATGATAATGGTGTAGAATCGATGATGCTTTTTATTTTATATTTTCTCTTTTTTTATCTATCTATCTATCTATCTATCTATTTATTTATCTATCTATTGAGCAGCACCGTACAAAGAGCCACCACCGCACGCTCGAGAACCCAAGCGAGCACTGCTCGCGCCAACAGGTGAGCTTCGGCCTCAGCCACCGCCGACGATTTAGTCCAGTGACGTATCAACCGGTGTGGCGTCCTTAACAAGGGCAACAGGTGTTTATACAAAGCATCCCTACTACTCTCTCTTTCTTTCTTTCTTTCTTTCTTTCTTTCTTTCTTTCTTTCTTTCTTTCTTTCTTTCTTTTTTTGTTTTTCTCTCTCTTTCTCTTTTTCTTTCTCTCATTCTCTTTCTCTCATTCTCTTTCTCTCTCAAATACACTTTATCTTCGTCACTTTCTCTCTGTATCTAGTTTCTTTCGTCGTAGTAAATTCAATTTTCATTGTTATTTAACAATCTTTACGATTGTTAGTTTCTTAATTAATTAATTAATCTGTCGGTAGTTAACATAGGCTTGAAATTATTTCCCCGTATGTTAGATTATTATTATTTCTTCCTGATATTTTTTCTTTCCTTTTCTCCTGTTGTTCTGATTGCAATAAAAAAGAAAAAAAAAAAAAAAAAAGAAAAAGAGAAAAGAAACAAAAATTCCTTTTCTCTGTCCATTGTATTGTACTTTAATTTTAATTTTTTTACTATTACTCTCTTCCCATCGTAATTTTTCTACGTTTATAATTGGACGCAATAATTGTTTGTATTTGTCTCTTTCCTACCTTTCCTCCTTATTTCTTTCTTCCTTTCTTTTTCTTTTTTTTTTTTTTTTCTTTCCGTTTCTTTACTTTTTTTCGTGTAATAATAATACGGTAATGGAGAAGTCACGACAGTTGTTAAATTTCTGCAAGCTGTTATGAAATTTACACGCGGTTTGAGTCATCAGTCCAATGAGAAATGCATGACGTCGTTGATTAATATCGTAGATCCGTGCGTGGTTTTATAAGAGCGAATTTCGTCTTTGAAAACGAACGAATCATTGAAATAAATTCGAATGTTGCCTTTCTCGACGATCTTTGTATTCGTTTGCAATCGATTTTTCGACAGTTTTGCAATACTTTCTCCTATAAGCGATGGTAAATTGACATTTTGCTGTTTTGAAATTGTTTCTTTCTTTTTACATGTCTTAAAAAAAGAAAGAAACAAAACACAACAAAACAAGAAAAAGGAGAAAAAAGATAGAAAAAAGATAGAAAAAAAAAATAGAAAAAAAAATAAATCCACTTGAAAGATAGTTCTTGTTGCAATATGTTTTACTTTTATTTTTTTTCTGTGATAATAAATACTACATATGTCTCATCTTGAGATCATTCTTGGTATCTATCATCTTAGGACATATATATATATATATCTATTTCAACGTCAAATTTTATATATAAATAGATAATCAGGCGGCTTTTACAAACAATTTTTATTAATTATAAATAATATCGTAATATTACGAAAAAATTGAATTATGTATAATTATGAGAGTTAAGTTGACAAGTATGAGTACGTATTTATTGTAAAGTATTAAAAAAATTATATAATCTTGTCTTTTATTTCGTCGTCTTCTTTATCGATAAAGAACAATGTGTTATTTGTTAAAGTTAACGCGCTTTATTTTCAGATGGCGCTGTCTATAACATTCATCGATTCTACATTTTGTTTTGAACAATTTTGATAACACGCATTTAATTTTGTATAAGATCAAAGAAATGTATTCAACATATGAAAAAATTTAACGAGTTTTGATAAATAAATGCAATTTAAATCGATAATAAACAATATGTACAAGAGTTTCGCGTTTACAAAGGCTCTCGTTCAATCTTAAAGCTTATACGAGTTAAATATATATATAACAACACTTATATCACTTAATATATTCGTTATTATAATGATTTTTGCAAATTTAAAACAACTTTTCAACAGTTTTATTGTACACTATTAATATGAGCTGCGGTGTCCGAGTGGTTAAGGAGTTGGACTCGAAATCCAATGGGCTTTGCCCGCACAGGTTCGAATCCTGTCCGCAGCGTATAATTTTTTTTTTCTTTTCAAAATTTTCTTTGCGACATATTTATATTGCGATATACAAAAAATGTGAGCATATATTTTTAATATACGCTTCGCACAACATATAGAATTCGTTATTTTATTTTTCGATAAAGATAATAAACATGAAAATAATTTTCATAACTGCTATAGATTTAATCCTTTGCAATCGGTGTCCCCGTAGCGGGAACATTTCTAAATCGTCGTAGAAATTGGTGTCCCCGTAGCGGGGACATTTTTAAATCGTCGTAGAAGTCGATGTCACCGTAGCGAGGACATTTTAAGATTAAAAATTTTATATTCTTACGTATTATAAGTAGTATTAAATACAATAAATCTGTATATTGACATCCTGTACGGAAAAGTAATTGCGAAACGATAAATTTGCTCCGACCTATTGGTATTTCCAAAAGCGAAATCTGCCGATCGCAAAGAGTTAATTGACGAGTACAAAAATGATTGATATTCAAAGTAAATAAATTATCACACAATGGAAACGAAAAATATTTTGTTGCTTAGGAAAATCGTATAATATTATCAAAAAAAAACTTTAAGAAAATTAATTAATTTATTTAATCCAAAAGTATTATTTCATTTAATTTGATTGTTTATGATTTTATCTTGATTGATGTTCATCTTGATTGTTATATGAAATATTTTAAAATGCATGAATTAAATCGTCTTTTTATCTGTTTTGGTGTCATGAATAATTGAGGAAACACACGCAAATACACACAAAAGCAATATTAAATGTTACTTTTAATAATATAAGTAAGGTATTTATTAACATAAATACAAAGGATAACAAAGGAAATTTATAACTTCAATTAACGCAAAAAGATTACATTTTATTATTTCGGATATCTAATTAAGACTAATTCTTATTGCTTGCATGCTCTTACTCTCTTCTTTTATTGTCTTTTTTTTTTTTTTTTTTCATTTTTCATGATGATGTCTACGTACGTCTTACATACATACATATATAACAAGAAAATCGATAAAAGTAATTAAATCGTGGTTACATTATATGCTTATACTATGGCTTTTCGAAGGCTTATAGAAGATTTAATGCACTGGTAAAATAGAATTCATTAACTCGTTGAATCATGATAACGTCGAACGAATAATTTTCGAGGAATAAGAGATAACATTGAAAGAATATTATATATTGATGAACTCGTGAAGT